CATTCTACGACTGATATATCGTACAGATCAGTGCGTTTTGTTAAACCTAAGCAACTACCTCTTCTTTACATAATGATATCTAGTCACTGTGACTATTGAGCAGTACCATAGTGGGTCGAAACAGTTTCCCAGTGCTTCCAGTTTTTCAGTGGTGGTCTAACATTGATCGGTTCAATCAGTAGATAATATCACTATCAAAACTGAACTAATCCTCACAACAAACAATGCTGATAATGTTTTAAACTTAGATGCATATAAAATTGCTCAAAAAATCAATAATGCTTACTTTAAAACATGAAAACTGTTTAATTAGTAACACAATTTTATTAATTTATAAAAAGCTCCCATTTATTCAACGTGTGTGTTAAATTAAAAATAATGACTGGTTCATCATACGTTTCAAAACACCAGTCAATATTTACTTGAGTTTTATATTTTTATTATTTGAATGAAAGCAGGAAACGATATTTGCACATCAGTAATATCTAGTGAGTAAATACACATATAAGTAGTGAGTAGCTTTAATGTTTACTCTTTGGGACAATTTTCAATTATGAAAGACATCAGCAAAGGAGCAAAAAACAACCATATTATCGTCCAGAGCAAATTTATAGAAATACTTATTCAAAACTACATATGGGATTGACACTACAAATTTCAGATCTCCAGAGTATATGATTACATCAAATTACTGAATCCGAATTCATGAGGATATTAATGATATCATTTGTCAGTTTTGTGTAGTTTTTATGCAAATTTTAATTTGAATATTTGATGGAGTCCAGCTTTATAGTGTAATTCTTAGAAGGCTACACCTTGTCATAAATTGATTACAGTCGAAAATATAAGCCAGTAATTTATTACTTATTTGCTTAAATATCTCACGTTTAATAAGAGTCTTAAAGATACTAGGTTTGATCTCATATAAAATTGTAAACTGTCTTTAATGCGGAGTAACATACAATAATGAAAAACAATTCAACAATTCATATTTACTAACTTTCCTTCTAATGCAATTTACTGATAAAATTCATCTTTAGTTTAAACAAAAATTCTTATTCAACCACTTAAGTATCTATTGAAAAAGTTATATAATATCTTCTTTCCTTATTTTCTTGTTTGTAAATTAATCAAATAAAATAACTACATTCGAGAGCGTTCCGATAGAAGAACTGTTCTTTATTGAAAATTATCGGTCTCATTGAATTAAATCTGTAGTTAAACAATAAAAATACCTTTAAGTATGTTAATCATACAATATATTTAATGCATTGTGGTTATTTATATGCAAGTTATTATCTATAAACTCTAATTGGTTAAGTTCAGATATCACCATCTACAGTAACTTCTCAGCTAATCTGAATCATCTTGGAAGTCACCTTTTGACTAGTTTAACAGTGTGTACGTCTGCCTGTAAGGCTTTTAAATTATGGAGGGTAAATATTATAACAAAAATGCATTTGGTCGAGATATACTTAAGATTCAATACTGAAACAGTAATACTGTAATCTGATATTATTTTGTTTTTAACTTTCATCATAATAAATTGTAGTTCATCATTCTATCAACCTCAATGGTCACATGTGTATCTTAAACACTGCCTTCATGTGAATGTTTTAGTGTGCTTTAATTATGGTCAACGGAACATTGCGAGATATACGTTTCGTCCTGTTAGAGTTTCATCAGCTGAATTTACTTGCGAATGTTGAAACTATTAGAAACAGGGAACTTTTGTTTAATTATATATTTTTTCGTTTAGACGAGTGATCACAAATACCATTTAGAGTTCATGATTGATGTTAGAAACGTTTGTCATCATTTTGCTTAAAATGATGTTCTATTTTCTATGTCTTTATAAGATGAAATATTTCAAATGTAATTTGTCCGTGTTTTAAAAACATGATATCATGTTTATAAGTAGTGATTTGGGACTACAAAGTCTCTCGTTAGACAAAAATATCCTATTGTTTTGATAAATTTATCAGTAGCCTATAGTGTACACATTTATTTATAATCTATACTATATGAAATGGTTTAATTTAAACAAAAATTTTAACTGATACCAAAACTGACAGAGTTACCTGTAACACTACTCCTAGGTACATGTTTAGTGAAAATTTCAAATGGTAAGTAAATAGATATCATCATATATCAAACAGACTTTTATAGACACCTGCTGTTTCTATTCTATTTTCTATAAATCAAAAGTACTTCTTTCACCTAAAAAAGTACTTAGAGATTAGGAAGCATCAAAGTGTTCATTGTTTACATGCTTACTTCGTATTAAACTTACTTACAGAATGATTTGAAACTGTATACACATAAAATTTATTTACGTTTTTTATATGCATTCTATCATAATCTGCTAAGAAGATTTGAAGTGACTTTTTATATCTCAATGGAATAACAGAAAAAGCCGTTCTTAAGTAATCGATAAATTTACCATCGGTTATTAAGTACTAACACATGATTAGGCGAGATTTGACAGTGTAATAAATAATGAACTAATTTAGCCCATTTACTTGATATTATTTTCGTAGTATACACTGAATAAATCTTGTAATACGGTGAGGATAATTAATAATACTTCTACTAATACTAAAAACAATAATGAAGCTAATGGATGGATGAGCTTAATAGATTGACAGATGAAAAATTTAGGCATTCCGTAGGTTGTAATAACCTATTGAGATATTTTCAAAGTGAACATTTTATTTGATTATATAATCCGTGAATGGATGAGTGGTTTTGTATTTGCGTGTGAGCGTAAGTCAAGCTGAAATTCAGTAGTTGTAAGATTTGCAGACATACATATCAATTTCACATATTTTCGTATTACTGCATTCACTAACCACAGCATTGAAATGAATACTTTCAAACTAATTTAATATGTAACAATTAGTTAAGAATAAAAGAGAGAAATAGGTACTGTGTTGTTTTGAAATTTCTCTTCAGATACTTGAACACTTCGTTGATTTGATAATAAATCATCAAACATAATGATTATATCTATTTAGAACTCCTTTATAACTGACAAGTTAGTCTCATTTGTGTTGTGAGAAAAGATTGTAAACTGTCAGAAATAATGAACAATCTAATAAATGTTTTCCATTAGAACAAACGTATGCATTTTAAATAATAATATTCTAACACTGTACCATTCGAACCAAATTTCTGGTCTATCAGTTGATTTAGTCGGTTTGAATAAATTTGCAATGATAAATATTGGTGGTATAATAAGTTATAAACAAAATGGAATTTTGGAAAAAATCAAAGAAGGAAAGCATACGGAAAATAAAAATCAAGAACTTTTATTCATACTAACGGTATGAATAAAGGTGAATACTAAATGTATCTATCCTGGTGAGATCAAAACGTTGGACTCAAATGTGATTACGTCCTAATACACTATTTTGTCCGTTGACGGAAAGAAAGTTATCGTAAACATTACCATGAAAAAGTCTCAGAAGATTGTAGTTGTCATTGTTTAAAGTGAAACTAGGTCATCAGTGTACTTCATCTAATAAGAACTAAAAAGTCAGTCGATCCTTACTAAATCAAGCAAAGAAAATGTTGCATTTTGGAGCTTATTCATTGTAAACGTTTATGGAAGCGTGCAAAAAGAACAGCTGTATTAAACGGCTCACAACGTCATCAGCTTTAACAATAGTGAGCCATAGGACTTCACTCAATAGCTTCCGAGTAAGGAGACTCCTTCTAGACAACAACTGTAATAAACACCGTAACAGGGAAACTTCAATAATGGTTTCGAATCATGCAGTCAACTTAAAAAGTAGGTTATGAATACTGTCGCAGAAAATGTTGAATATCAAGGTGTATATTCAATACATGTAAGATTAGGTCATAAACCAGCTTATTTTTCTTGAGTTCGTTGTTCCAACTCCTCATTTATGTCTCGGATGGTTGTGAAAGCTAATATTGCAGACACCATACTAGTCTAAGTAGTTTGTCTTCGGTAGTCGCGAGCTTATTACGGTCAAGATCGATCGAATGCTTTCGTATTTTCTAATGTTATTTATTATCGCTTGTACAGCCATCAGGTTTTGTGGTAGCTCCTGTTGATTTGGTGAGCTCAGGACAAAAACAGCTCGAAAAATTAGAATTACTATGCATCGAAAAAACATCTAGTTACCAGTACTATAGACCAGTCAGAAACCCAGACTAATCTCAGTCTTTTTGGTTTGATATTATGTAAAAACTAATTTCTACTTTAGTTTCCAGTTGGATTGACAAACTGCGGCAAATAGACCAAAATATCAAATAACTTTAAGGAACTTTTTAAGTTTAGATAATAAAACCCTTCACCTTTTTGAAAACGAATGTTATTCATTAGCACAATATTATTTATCAGTGTATAACATACATTAAAACTAGACTCTTGGAATATTTTATTCATAGGTAGCTAAAGGTAGTTGACAAGAAACTCTTGGACCTACGTTTCATCCTAGTTGACACTTGTCAGCAAAGTGTACCTACCGTAATCTATAAGCAAGTTATTAACCCTATTAAACTACATTGATATGATCCAGTTTCATAATCTCGAACGTTACTACTATGCATTACGGGCAGTTGATGGTCCGTGCTGACTACCTTTAATCAGCTTAAATTTCTAAATAGTGCACAAGATGCAGAGTAATCAAGACTAATGAGCACATTTCAACTTGATCGGTAGAATTCGACTACCACTAAGGACTGGATAAATTTGACATTGATCATTCGCTACTCAGTGAACAATCAATGTACTTCGCAATTCATTTATATTAGAAAATACATTTGTTTCGAAAGAATTCTCTCATTTATTTGATATTCATTTAATTTCATAAATTACGATGGTATTAATTTCAAACGGAACATGTTGATGTCATGTCTGATACAGCGAAAATAGAAATTAATACTTTTTGATTAGGAAATCCAATTAAGTTGTTCTGAAAATAATACATCATATGAATAGATATTAAAATTTTATATAACTAACTTACCAACATATTGTCTCACTCCAATTACAGCTATAAAAATAATCAACAATCCACCAGTAAATTGATAGTTTAATTGATCCACAAAATCAACTCCATCTCCTCCATATGGAGTTTCAAATACTTTACCAATTCGTAATACAGTATCCGGATTCATATGATGAATAGATTAAATTATATGAGATTAAGTTAACATGACATTCGTAAAGAAACCATTCATACACTTGATCAATAGTACCTGTTTATACATAAATGAAGTTTTAAAGGTTATAAATGAATGAAAATAATATCCTTGAATTTTTTCTGTTTTTTCCCCTTATATAATAGTAATACTAATGATTCTAAAAAGGTGGTCCAATAATTTCCATACTCCTAAGTTTTTGTTGTTTTCTTTGTTCAAATTGTATAATGAAATAAACAGTTGATGATGATAATATAAATGAAAATTTACGAAACATTTCAATTCTAAATAAAACAGACTACTAATATATACATAATAGTACATTATAGTAATATCGTCAATAATGAATAATCCTTCTTTATTTATTTTTTTTGTTTTTGATAAACTATGCACTGGAAGAATAAAAATTTAATTTTTTAAAAAAAAAAAACAGAAAAATTATTTATTTGATTTAATATATAAATATGAAATTAGATTAACCTTAATCCTTAGAATTCATTTTTTTTAAACAATAAGTAGTTGGTTTCTCTCCTTTTTCATAAAATGAAGTTTCAAAGGGTGAAATAATCAAATGAATAAATGAAATAAACAGATGGTGGAGAAAATTTGTAGCTCGAGTGGGAAATAAACAGATATGTAAATGTATCAGTATTCATTCTGTTTTGTTTTAAAAGATCAATTTGAAATAAGTATAGATCTTATTTTGTTCTATTACAAGACTATTTCAATCAATGAGCAAACATTCAGCATGTAAATACGTTGTAACGAGTTATTCTGATAAGGACTTTATTTATTATGTAAGCATATATGCATATACATATATATGTATTTATTCAATGAATTGTCCCAGATTATAAATGCTTAGAAGTTGAATAGTATAGAAATTTCTTCTATTATTATATACATAGATATATTTACATATAAATAATCATTATCTAAGGAATTCATGGGTAAACATATTTATATTAGTAATTCAAATGATACACATATATGTGCATATTGATTTGGATACAATTCTTTAATTAAGATTAATGAACAGTGATATTATTCTACACGTTTAGAATGAATGAATTTTTTTTCTGTTGTTGTTGCTAAGTATACCAATTTAATAGGTTACACACTGTATTATCGGTGCAGAATGTTTCATAGTAGAATTTCATATAGATATATATACATATGCATTGACAACATTGTCAACGACAACCAGAATAAGAAAAAGAGAAGAAAGAAAGAAGAGTACAATTAGGAAGAAAAGACAAACAATATAAAAAGTAAGGGTAGGTGGGATGAATAAAAGGATGAAGTGAAAACATATAGTTAACCACCAATATTAGATTAACCAATCAATTAACTAAAACTAGCCTATGATTTACTAGCAAATAAAAATCAGTGCATATCGACAAACTGAAAAACACCTTTAGGAATAGAAAAAAAATGAAATTAACCGCACAGTATCACCTTTTACTGACCGATAACTTTTACTGTAATGTGTGTGAGAGAGAGAGAGAGGAAATAAAAAAGAAACACAGAGAATGAGAGAATGAAAGAAATTTTGGTCTGTTTATCTTCAATCCTATAAATTTAACTATTTGTTTCACATAAACACACAACTGTAATTCCTTTGAATACTGTACTATTCCTATGTGTCTCTCTTCAGGTTCATATATAAATATGACGTCACATGATCGAAGACTGACAGACACAAAATGTATAGGCAGTTACAATTAGTAGCCTGTTATACAACAGTACAAACAAATTGTACTAGTACACATAAATCTGTTTATTTGACTACTAATATTGTATTTAAACAAGTCACTATTTATAAATGTACATTTCGTAAACCCTGGAAGTAGTTTCCTAGTTTTATTTTCTAGATATTATCCCAGTAACAAAGTGTACACAATACCAAGTGAATTTAGAGTGTTATATTGTTTCACTATAATAGCATTCAATTTGACAAATGTAAAGTTATTAAAAAGTAAGAAAGATTGAGAGCAAATAGTACTATACCAATTGTTCATTTCTTTTTTATGACACACAATTATCATTGACAATTATTAAAATACAGCAAACTATCAAATTTGTCAGTACATCACTTATGGCATGATAAGTCAATAGAGATATAATACATTACTAAAAATTGTTCAAAAAAATAAGTTTTCGAATGTTATCAAAAGTTAAATAAAAGATTTCCTAATAAAGGGTGAAGGTTGTAGATTATGAATGAAAACAAATTAAAATTTATACGGTAAATATTGAACAAGTTTTAAAACATAGAAGAGATCATTGAAGTCACAAACCGTTCTAGGTTAGATTACTCTTAAAAACCAGATGTGTGTATCTATGATCTCATGAGAAAGAATCAACTCCACCACCTTCGGTCTCGCTCGCGAATGCTTATCATTTAGACTACTGAGTCAGCATCGAATGGTGTACAAGCCTAACTTCAATAATGAGCAACCATCTTTCATTGTCTTCAGTGAGTATCTGCCTCCTACCAAACACGGCTGAACCTCACTGATTACAAACCGTGATTTCTACGAAACTCGACGATATCCACAACTCCATACTGGAAATTATTATGTGCTCACTTGTGACTAGCTTTGAGAAGAACGTTCCAGAGTTCTAGTAAGAAGTCACGACCAGTAGGGCTGATTCATGTCTGGGGTGAGGCATTTACCCACCAAAGAGAATTGAAGATGGTCGCTTGTTATCGTAGATTGATTGAAGTTAGGCTTGAATACCATTAGATGCTGACTCAGTAGCCTGGATGATGAGCATCGCGAGTGAGACCGAAGGCGGTTGACTCGATTCCTTCTCTTGGGATCATAGGTGAACACATCTGTGTAATCTCACACAAGGATGAATTGGTCGTTCAGTACTTTCAGGTTTTCAGTAGTTATCTGACTTAAAATGGTTCGTGATTTTAATGAAATTCAACAATCTCCATACCCCGTTATTGACGATATAAGAGGTTAGTTAAAATTCAAAATTTACATCATTTTATGTTGAATGTATTTCATTTATATATTTTGTTCATTAAAGAATCTCGTGTCTTGGGATATACTCTTCCTACAATATAGAGGCAAGTGTGAAAGTTTTATCCAATACTAACAGTTTTTTGTAAATGATCTTCTATTCGACATGATATTGTTAAGAAAGTCTACTGAAAAACTAAGAAAGATGAGGCTAAAATTATACGCATGAAAATCAGATTTACACTATTGGGAGTGCTAGAAAATTCTGTATTAATTGGATCAACTGAATGGTCCAAAAAATTGAAACTAACCATGATTCAAATTAGTCATAGTCAATTTGGAAAGAGATTTCATTTTCTTTTCATAAACATCATTATTTAGAAATAAAGTACGAAATAAATATTTATTGACGGTTTGTGGAGAATATTTGAAGTACGTTTACGTCACGGAATCCTGGTAACTGAGTAGCCAATGTTAATCAAACAGTACTTAATAGCTATCTCATCCTGGTGTGAAAGTAGTCAATGGTGAGCATTCACAACCGTAACATGATTTATAACCTTCAAATATCTAATATCTTTCCATTACAAAATGTAATAATTCATAAGGAAGCCGATAAAAACTTAACTATTAATGCACATGAAAACTATGTTTTAGCGTTAATTTCATCACATGATAAGATCAGCCTAGTGACCAATCAACAATATGTTTTTTGATAGACTGAGTGTACACCCAACGAAGTACTTTTTTAATTTACTTAACTCAAACTTTAACCCAGTTAAAAGCCGATACCATAAATTGTTATCTTCTGTTGGATGGTGGTCGGAGGTATTCGGCAGAAAACCTTGGACCTCGGCTCCGATTTATTTAGTACTGGTCATAAAGATGTACCTGTAATCTTGAGGAATGTAGTATTCTTTAGAGGATCTGGTGCTACGGAGAACTACTTCCCTCAAGAATACAGGTACATCTTGATGACCAGTACCAAAAAGCACGGAACCAGGGTCCAAGGTTCCCTGTTGACGACCTCCAACCACAACCTTATATCTCAATAGATTGTACGTATTTTTGAGTAATTTAGACTATCATTCACGTTACAACGTGTTCGAAAGGGCTTGATCAGCAGTAAGAAGGACTTAAAATACATGATATTGGTCGCAACTCAGTAATCAATCGGTTGTAAGTGGAAGACTTCCATACCTTTCGGATGGTCGAACTTTGAGAAACGTACCTCAAAGCTGGTTACTTATGGGTGTACAGATTGTTTCTTCAGATAATTATATTTAAGTAAACTGAATATAGACGTTGAATTATGAAATGCCATTAGTGACATTTTAATCAGCCCCTTCTAAACTGAACATACATTTTAAAATTTACTTTACTAGTATAATTTTAAGATGACATATGTCGAATGAAATGCTTAATCCTACCAACAAGAACAGACAGCAAATAATATAAAATGGAAAGGTTATTTTATGAAATTGTTCTAAGCTATAAACAGTAGTATCCCTCATTTCTAGACAAATCTAATTATAATAAATTTTTTTTACAAATCATTTGATTAGGTGAATGAGAAATATGTATTACTATTTTAAACAAATTTATCTGATAACTGTTCAAGTCTATGATGTAAATTATTAAGAAAACCATTGGAAACAAACGTTTAGGTGACTGTGTTTTCCAGTCATTCAAACTTTCCTTGTTATAATCTGCGTATGTTTTACATGTATTCGATGACTGTAACTGACAGTGAACATTTAACATCAGTTTCAATATTACTTATTAACATTCCTGATTTCTTTAATTTGTTGAATTGATATTTTATTTGTAAGAAATATCCCCAAAAATGAAGGTTACTATAATAACGCTATTTGAAAACTAGCAGCTCTCTTAACTTTGGCCCATAAATCTAAAGAATATTAGCAAAGACAATATTAACCTAAAATACAGATTTTGGTAACAAATATTTCACTCTTAGTTCTACTTTGCATTTGTTAA